TGAATTATGTTAAAGATTTTTCTATTGCCATTGTGAGTGCCAACAACTGTAATGTCGTAACAAAAAATATCGTTTCCATGACCTTTTTGAACTCTTGATTGATAACAAGTTGGCAAACCGGCCTGTGTGGCAGAGCTGTTAGCTAGGCGCTTTGCTGTGGCACACAGAAAAACTGATTTCAATTCCATGGGGGGAAAATTGTTATCAAGTAGGGGCTTATCATGGTCCATCTGTTGGGACATTGTATCCCTGTCAGCCTGAATTGCTCCCAATTGGCAAGGTCAGAGCCAGCCTCCTAAATGATATAAATTGTGTTGATATAGGCATAAACCTCCTACAATTTAAAAAAAAGCCAGTTGGCAAAAACAATGCTCATTCATGTATCATTTCGCCATGGAGGTGGGAGGGAAAAAGAGTAAGGGAGGAGGAGGGGATTATCATTATTGTTTTGAATAGTGAATCAGTAAACACTATGCACACAGAAGGTTGTACAAAATAGGAAAAGGATACACTACGGAGAGCAACCCAGAAATGGACACACAACAGAGCACGGACACGTCTCGGAGTCTTACATATACAGATAGATAAGTTGACAGATAGATAAATGAATAGAGACAGAGATAAACACACTACAAGTTGAGGAAATGTGAACATTTGTACACCCAAAAAATTTTCCTTGATCCTGAGTCATGACAATACCTCATTCAATCTTGTTCTCTCTATGTTGTTAACATAAATGATGAATGTACTGTTTTGTTATTCAAAGTCTGTTGGTCTGAATCTTTGTATATTTGATATACAAACCTGCCCTAGCAAACATTGAAATAATAAGCACAGATAGGTCTAAACACAAAGAATTTTAAATCCACGGATAGCTTGAAAAATATGCCATTCTCTGACTTTTTTTAAAGGTAAGTGTTTTACAGCGCTCGCAACTGCATAAGGTAATATGAGCGCGCGCGGGGGACACACCAAACATTCTCAGTTGGTTAGAAATTTTGAATTTTGCGCGGGTGGCAGCCGAAGCCTACTCTAATCGATTTTAGACAATGAAGAGATCTTTAACGTGCGCAACTTGCACACGGGACCTCTGAGATATTTCTCCTTTGTCTGAGAAGGCTAGGTGTAGATCTTTCCAATCAGAAGTTCAGGGGTGTGGCTGAAAGACGGTAGTAAGAAGGAGCCAAGGAGTAGCAGTAGAAAGGCTGCAGAAAATAGAGTCAGGTGAGGGGGTGAGGGCAGAAAGTAGAGACGAAAGCAGATGACAGAACATTGCTAGAGAGCAGGAAAGGAGGTGAAAGGAGACAAATTTAGACAAGAAAATCTTACCTTCCCTACCTGGATTCGAACCCGAGACACCTTTGAATGAGAGGCGAACACCTTATCCTCTGGGCCATGAGAGTCCCCATTCTCCGACTGAACTGCTATATTCTCTTTGTATTGGCAACTCTGTTTTCTCAGAAACATGCATAGATGTGTTGAACAGCTCATAATTTCTAAAAGTGGGCTCAGATATTTCCAAATGATTGTCTTGTATTCTAATCACCTTGTATGCAAGAAGGAAAACAAATATTTCCATCATCATCATCATCATCATCATCATCATCATCATCAATAGAATTGATGAGAATTGGTAGGATTTCCAAAATAAATTTTATAATGCATTCAATGTTTCACCCACTACGGGCTTTGTCAGGAACATAAAAAAAATAATATCATCATCATCATGTTCATCAAAAGTATCAGGTTACCCAAGACCACAAGACACATTCTTGCACAACATGATACACACGTCGCTGCTATCGAGATGCGTCATTGCACATTACCTGCAGTTAGCGCACTGAGCTAAAACTTCCTTGAATCTAGTCGTGTGAGTGCGGGTGCCGAGTTGTGGGATTTGATGGAAGACAGTGTGAGGCTGTGCATTGGGCCATTGGTTATTAGCCTGAAAGCCTGACCATATGCAACCGACAAACCACCTGTTTATGACAACCACCTGTATAAATGACCATTTTTGATTCACCCGATCGCCTTTTTTGACATTATAATCACTCTGCCCTAGAGGACCGCCTGTCTGAGATTATCATTTTTCTCCTCAACATTGGGTGGTTGTCTTGAGACAAACTGTGATGTTGTTGAAGTCTGTTACTTTGAATTCATGTTACATTTATAAACGGAGTATGTCGTACTGTTATGTGTTATTTATAATCTTTTGGTCTCAAGCTGTTAATTATGATATTGATATAGTCAAACCCCGTTACATCGAAAACTTTGAGCTGCGCATGAAGTTGGCGGTATAGTATGGCTGGTGGTGTTGCGGGGTTTTATTGCCTAAAGTCAAGGGAAGTGATTATTTGATGACCAAATGAATTTTTTTTTAAAAAATGAGTTATTTCCCTTGGTTCAAAACCCGATTAGTCTGGATGGCCTTTACTCCTTTAGGCTTGGTGGTACAGTGGAGTCCACAGCAATGTGATGGAGGGAGTGAATGTGTGACGTGCGCAAGCAGACAGAATGCACCACAGGATGGGGTGGGGTGGGGGAAAACACAGCGGGCGAGTTAGCCCAGTGCCCTTTCTTTCGGATCGCCAACGCCGAGCTGTCAGTCCACATGGCTAGATCTAGCGCTAGAGAAAGAAACCTGATTCGATTTTTGATCAAGTAAGACCTAGAGGTCATGTTGAAACAAAATCATCATCAGGGGAGATAGCAAAAGGAAATAAACAGAACATCAAACTCATAGATTAGGCCTACTTTACAGTTTCCCTTGAATTTATTACTGGATCCCTTATAGCGAGAATCCTGCTATAACGGGCATTTTGCTCCGGTCCCCTCCCTCTCGTTCTAACAGGATTCCACTGTACATGACATGACAATCGTTACCTCGCAGAGTCGCGGGGAAGTGGAAGGAAGGGAGATGATCATTAGGCAGGTGCCTTGCCTCGTGTGTATTGTGGATTCATTGCGCATGCGACCCAGTGAGGTAAATCGAAATTTGTATCCTACTATTGGGGCAAATACACGGAATAATGAATGTTTATCAAGTGTTCCTTTTCATGCATTGGCAAAACCTGGTAATATAACAGTGTATGACTGTGTACTGTTATGTTCTTTGAAGTATGGTGCAAAAACTTAAAGTGCATTTTGTATTTTATTGTTATTTATGCCTTTGTAGATCAAAATGAATTATAAACTAGTACACTGGTTTTGATATCTCTTTATATATTTAGCAATATCTTACCTATGTTTGTGTTTACTATAAAAAGTGTAAGTCTTGGTCCTGTGTACAGCCTGTTGTTCTCGCTGTTGTAGGATTCAGGTATAATAAAACAACCAAATCTAAAAGTGTTATTACTTGTAATAAAAAAAAACAACCTTGTTTGAATCTCAATTTTTTTTCTGTTCACTTTATGTGTGTTTTGAGAGATAGGTACAGAATAACTACAAGTGTCTTTAGTGGTTGGGCTCTACGATGTAGTACGCAGGAGACCAAGTTCAATTCCCAAGTGGGAAGTAATTTGTATGTATTGGTATAGTTATTAGTACACTGTATCTTTCACTCTCAGCTGGGATTGATCCTCAGCCCGGGTTGGTTCTTTCAAGCAGGGTTTAATGCCTGCCTTCTAGATTGTCTTAATTAATTGTAGCCATGGGGGTGTAAAAATACCTATACTAAAAATAATAAAAAAGAAATGACAGAAGTACAGCCCCACCTCGTACCGCCACTCTTGGGATGAGCGTCGAAGTGGCAGAATAGCGGGGTGGGTGGTTCCTGTGTTAAACAGAGTGACT